GTTGTGTGTGTGGTTGTGTGTGTGGTGGTGTGTGTGGTTGCGTGTGTGGTTGTGTGTGTGGTTGTGTGTGTGGTTGTGTGTGGTGGTGTGTGTGGTTGTGTGTGTGGTTGGTCTGTCTCTCTCTCTCGCTCTCTCTCTCTCTACCAGGCCAGAGGAAAGGAGCATGCGCGTCTCTCTCTCTCTCTGTCTCTCATCGCTGTTATTCTCATCAATCATGCAACCCAGGTGCAGCAGCCGTGTCCCCAAGCGATCATCACCTGTGAATAACCTGAGCAGAATACTGAGCAGAATCGCGTTCGGCAGCACCCCGAACTTCCCATACCGGCGACATTAAGGTGGAAGAACCCACACCGTTGTCCCGAATGCTGCGCCGAGAGCGACAGAAAGTGCTCAGACTCAGGGCAGGCACGGATGATGAGAGACGTAAAAAGTCACCAGGCAAGCGCCAGCCCCCATTCCAAGAGTGCGTTGCATGTTCCATCTGGTCTCGATGCGCTGTCGCATGACCTCTCTGACCGGCCCGCCCGGGTAGAGTTCTATGGACCAAGCACACGTCTGTGATCACCGCTTCGATTACTTTCGCAACGTCGTGACAAGCCAGCATAAGCTAAACTGCTAAGTTGCTAGGTGAGCCTGTTTTCTGACGCCAACAAAGCTACACGACACCGCCAGGCCCAGCAAGCATGCCATGAATGCCATGAAGATCGCCGACACGAGCGCTGCAAGTGCCGGGCTCTGCTTCCAGCTGCCGGGGAAGTCCGTTGGGCAACCCTGCAGAGCCTCGCCAAAGCGATGTGTCGCAGCCATCAAGGATAAGCAGCACCCATGCTTAGCGGCTTGCTATTTGGGGAAGGTCCTTGAGCACTTTCGAACTCACGACCTGAGTAAGCCAACCCATCTCACATCTGGGACCCATGTGACCTTGATCTCTTGATTTGTCGTTGCATGTGCGTGCTCTGCATCCACAAAGCCAGAGCCGCGTACGAGCTGCGATTGTCTTCCTCGAAGAACGATGGTCCCGCAGGTCCTGCCGACAGAGGCAAGACAGCACGGTATAGGGGCATGGCGAGAGACAAGAGCGCATCTCCTCTTCATCCATGAAATCCTCGACCTGCAAGGCCGCTTCGGCATGGCGTTTGGATCTACCTGGAGCGGGAAGCGCGGAGAACGGCAGTGACAAGCTGCGGCTAAGGCATCTAAGGAGCTCGAGCTGAAAGATGCCGGCTCCCACCCCTCTTTGCTCCCTACAGTGCCTCGGCATTGGCAGCCACTGCCAGGTGGAGTTAAGCCTTGAAGCAGTCTGCGGGCGCCGGACCCCAGTAGCCGGCGCTGAAGCCGCCCTCGAAGGCCCCGTAGAAAGTCCTCTCGCCACGAGCCTTCAGCTTTCGGGCTGCAGCCCACTTGTTTGTGGGGTATGCCCCGCCTGGCCTTAGCAACAGTCCCGTCTGGACGTTTGACCTCGACATACTCCTCCTGGCAAGTCTCATGGGCGAATGTGGCATCATAGGGAAGCAAAACGGAAGTCTCACCCTTTTAGAGCGCTTGCCGAGGTCATCCAGCTCATCCACATCGTATCTGCACATGAGACGTCGGGCGTTGGGTTAACAAAAGCCCGTAGTTCTTTTCACGGCTGCACTCAAAGCCTAACTTGTGCCCTCTCTAGCTTTGCGGCAGATTCTAAACACTTCACCACAAGAAGTTGGGACTAATTGCCCCTTAAGTAGCCATCGCAGAAGCTGAACCGATCAAGCAGGACCAGGCGAAGGAGATGAAAAGGCCAACGCATGCAATCAAAAAAAAAACTCTGGCCGCAATGCTGCCCTTCGAAGATGGGCGTCCCAGTCTGCGCTCTGAAGGCGAGTGACTAGGATCGCGTGGTGCGGTGCTTCCCATCTTCGGCAACATGACAAGCACACAATTCGTAGAGAGTGAGGCGATGACTTTGACGAAGAGTTCACCACGAGTACGAGTAGCTGAAGCATAGTCTGGGATGGCTGGCCGTCGATGCAACTGATGCTCATGATAATGACCATGACCATGGTGATAGTGACGGTCATCACATGCACGTGGTCAAACTCTTGTCGGCAATCTACCGTAACGGTGGTGATGCGGACGATGATGGTTATGAGTTATGATGGTGACGATGCTGGTGATGATGATGACCTTTATAATGGTTGATGGTCATAGTGGTGATGATAGTGATGGTTAGGGTGGTGATGACGGCGGTGATGGTGGTGATGGTGCTGGTGCCGGTGCGGTGACCTTGATGATGACGACGATGATCATGATGACGATGATAATGATGCTGATGACGAGACTGAAAGTAAATATTTTTAATAATCATCATGGTGACGATGGCATTGACTACGGTGGTGATGAATTATCGTGTGTGCCTAATCGCGAGCCGATGATGAGATTCATGAGGATGCCAATCATGACCATACTGGTTTCATGCACAACAACATAGCCACAACAGTGACAACCGCAGTCATCACATGCTCCATAATGAAAATGATGAGGGAGAGGCGAGGAACACTGAAAGCAATCGATCATGTGCAAATCTCATTCACAGATTTGTGCAGCCCCATTGCGAAAATTGTGACGGTGGCTATCTCTCAAGGTGGCTATGTCAGCAGAGGTACGTTTCGTACAGTGAACTTCAACTTCGTCAGGTGGGGCGTACATGCAGGTACCACATCCCGGCCTTGCAACCGCCTGTCCCAGAAAGGTCTTAGCACCTCCGAAGTCACCAGGGACGCATTCTCGCCATGCGATTGGAGTCAGCTGACACAGTGAAAGCGTTCTTTCCTCTGAGGCACAACCCTCCGAGCGACTGCGGCGCATTCGTGAGGAAGGTGATGATGCATTGCGCAACAGAGTACAGGCTGCAAGGATCAAGACACCTGGTGAGTTGTAGACAACATCCTTTGTCAATCCCAACTCCTGGATCCAATGGACCTACACAACCTGATCAACCCTGCAAAGACGTTGACAGATGGCAAGTTGAAAGCTTGCAAATTTGTAAAGTGCTTCTTGGCTTCCGCCCAGCGTGAGCCAAGACACGCAAAGTACTTTGACTTTTGGGACGAGCTGAGGCCAACGAACGTTCAAGAGCTCCAGTGTGCTTTACTGTCACGATGATTGCTAGTGTTCGTGTTCGTGCCACTCATACTGGAACTGTTGCTGTTTTTATTGCTAGCATCATGCTGCAATAAACAGGCCGTCACGCTCTTTTTGCTACTGGTCATCATACGCCGCTGTCATCGTCGCTGTTCTCGTTGTTGTGAAGACATTGAAGGCTGGCCTATGTTGTTGGTTTATTGTCACAGCAATTATTGACCCACTTCCGCGAGTACGTTCGGCACAGCCGGGGGCAGTGCTTCCACGAACGCGGTCGGCGCCCTTGCATCATTGAAACTCAACAATTCGGGATCGGGTCGCGGATGGTTACACCTTGCCTCAAGCGTCTGTGCCAATTTTGTTGACTCCGGCGCCCTGGAATTGCTACATCAGCACTTACACTCGGGAAACCTCTCCAAGCCTGCCCTCTGCAAGATGTGCGGTTCATTCGGGTTTTGGACACAACTCTGACAAGACGGTGCTTCCACAACGTGCTTCAACAAGCAAGCCCCTTCCGCAAACGCTTCTGCTTCTTGCCACGCCCAAAACCTTGGAATTGTGTCTGCAACGACGTGCACCACAACCTGCAGAACAGAATGCCGCTCCTCTTGATACTATGATCACTGTCCCCCAGCCCGTCCCTCCGAAATCGAGATCTCCTTCAAAAACAACCTGTGGAACCCCTTGCCTTGCCTCCCCACCTCCTCAAAAACGAAAGGATTTTGCAAACAGAACAGTCTAGCCCCGCCCACCAAGGCCCCACCCCCCACGACCCACAATAGCCATAGCAAGACTACACTCAATCCTAGCTGCGGGCCTAGCTCCGCAGCTTTCGTGGGTCCTAGGTACCAGCTACGAGCAATGGACATCTGACTCGGAGCCGAGGGCCCTGTGGTGATATTGCGCACCTGCGGAACACAATGTGCCGATGAACAAGCGCCCAAGAGTGCTCTCAAAGCGGGCACTGGGCTGCTGTCATTTCTCTGCGACGCAGAATTTTATCAAGGAGGCAGCATGATTTAGCATTACCCGTCATGAATGACGAGCCTCCAAGCTTGTTCAAGTGCCAAACTAATCTACGCCGGCCTGCAGTAGGCGAGGGCCTCATCGTAGAGCTTCAGGCTGCGCTGCAAGAGCCCGAGAAAGGGTTCTTGTTAACCTCCCGTTGCACCACAGCCGCAGGATGCGAGTGTGCCTCGGTGCTGTTGCCTGCACAACGAGGACCGTGGGACCGTGTGACAAGTCCATCCATCACCCCTTTTGGTTCGAGGGTGGGATGCCCTCGGGCCCCCATGTTTACAGCATTTTCGCATGTTTTAGAACGAACATCGCTTTTGAAATAGAAGGGTGGTATAACACTTGTAAATGCACTGCACTCAGTTCCAGATCAATTCGTCTGTCAATGGCTTCCGTCATTCCATAGACCAGACCTTTTTCCTTGGAAGCATTTTGCAGTAATCGTTCGAAATCGAAAGTATCAACTGCTTGATAACAATGAAAGATGATAAAGGAACAGATGTACTCGTGCCACACGGCTATGGCATATCCTCGGTACAACATCTTTTCCATGTCCATTGGTGTGGAGGCAATACTGCACAAGGCTTTATTTAAAATAAAGCAAAAGAACGACTCCTTCATACAGACATTCATGTTAGATGGCCCTATAGAGTCGCAGCATATGATTGAAAACCCCAAATATCCTTCATGGAGTCCTTTAGAGTCATTCGGATCCCACAAGTTTAACTTTGCTGATTCCTAGGGCTCCCAGAGCAGTTTTTTGTACTTCATGAACAAAGACCTGTATCCACATGTATTCGACTTATTCGGTGGGACTTGAAAATCCGAGAATTAGACCGTGGTCTACAACTAACCTTCCAGCCCTTTTCAGTTCACGTGTGGGTTCTCCATCAAAAACTATCACTTTCAGATATGTTACCAAAAGAATTGTGCTTTCATTTGCTTCATCATATCATCATATGACTGGGAGAATATCAGCTGCTGCAAGTGTGAGTTTTGAGAAGCGACCTGGGCTAACCACAACCTGACCAGATCTCTGATAAGACAGACGGAGTGAGAGTTCGTTATCTGCCAGCATGCTGTAGAAGTCCTGCACCCCACATATAGCACACGTGGATGGATGTATACCGCAACATCAACACCCTGTAAATAATACATGTATTGTCCAACCTTGATTCCATATTTCTCACTGCTTCCCAGTCTGTAGTGTCAAGCATGTGCACGCATAGCTTCAGGACAGGATCACCAAACTTGTTCCTTTTCGTGTCTTCTGCCTGTGTATGTAAGATGGATAACTTGTGGAAGCGTGTTTATCGCCTTGTATAAGTTATGACTCTCTGCTATCGGTGTTGGAACGGACATTCTACCACTGTTACCCTAAATGTATGTTAGATGAAAATTTTGCATATATAACATTTGCGGGACTGTTGTTTCGCCTTTGATACAGCAGTGATTCCGAAAGACGTGAGTATGACTTCATGTGGAAAAAAGTGGGTCAAATTTAAGATTTAAATTGTCTGATGAGGCTATATCTCCTTGCCACATATCATATTTAGAGTTATTATAAATAAACCTCGATCCAGACCAGAAAATTGCACAGGAACTCAGGTGACCAGCCCTGCGCGCGCACAACTGAAGTCAGAGACGAAAGGCAGCCGAGGCCGATAGCCTCCAAGCCTTCCCTGGAGGCCTGGAGGCCTGGAGGGCTGGGGGTGGGGGGCTGGGAGGGGGGGGGGTCGGGGGGGGAGGGGGAAAAACATCTTTTATTTAAAACAAAATGCTTATTTTCTGTTTTCTGTTTTTTTGGACCCCCCCCCCGCCCGCGGCTCATCCCTGCAGGCTCTTCTCCAAGAGCGGCCCCATAGCATTCATATGAATTAATAGCACATGGATCAAGAAAACTAAATTAACTAATCAATGCAGCGCAAGATTCGCGGTGCAGAGTCTGGATGTAAAAGAATGACTATACGATCAAAAATAATATGAACAAATGTAACTAAAAAACATACAAAACTTTAGATGTAAGTAAAACACACAAAACTACATGAGTGGAAAAAACGGAGCCCCACAGCGTCCCTTTCTGTTTGGTCCAGCTCTTACTCAGTACTCAAAACACTGCTTCCCGAGAAGCACAGCGCATCACAGGATCGGCTCCCTAAATTTGGGGCCCATCCAAAACATGTTGCGCACAGCAGTGCAGCCTTTTTCGCATCCGACATGATGTGACAATTCGTGAAACAGGCATCGGCCAACTGGGTGGTAGCACTCACCACTCTGTGACCTGAGGCGCTCAAGACTTCAACAACATATCTATTTTAAGTATTCTTACCATAAGACCTCTCGGTTCACATTCCCTCTGCCAATGTTCCTAATCCCGTCTGTGGCACCGTCCATCCACCAGATCCGCTTCCCACTTGAACGCTGCCCGGAGCCGGCACCGCCGGCAAAGACGGCAAAGAGGGCAAAGAGGGCAAAGACGGCAACGACGGCAGCCGCTTTGGAGCAGCGTCCTGCAAGCCCCATGTGATGAGAATTCACATTCCGGCCGGCCTTTGGGAATCAAGACAAGTTCGATGCAGAGTCCTTCTTTTTGGGCTTTCCCTTCCTTTTCTGACTCCTGGCACTGGCATCAAGAAAGCGACCCAGGTTTTCAGGGTGCCAAAACAAGACGCCTGCCTGCTCCTACTCCTCTTCTCCAAGACGGCTCGTCTTCTTCGGATGCTGCTGCTGTCTGTACTGCAGTCCTTGGTCAACTCTCTGGGAATTTGGGGGGACCTTGGAGAGTTCTCAAGCTCTGGGCACTTCGAGCTGGGCTTCGGCTCCGCGGCCTTTTCTTAGTCTGCAGAATATGACAGCTCCGAATAAATCCAGCTTGAACACCACGCCTCTCTTCTGGACTGCGTTCATCACTGTCCGAATTGCCTACGTACTTTTCGTCGGCACCTCAGATCTGAACAGCGAACAGGACGAATGTGGTCTGCAATCACTGCGTTTGAGCAGCTTTTCTTCTTTCCACCATCCATTAGAGTCTTGGCCAACTTGCAAAGTGTGGCCGAGGGTTGGTGCGACATCCTTACATTCAGATGGCGAAATGAGCGCGAGTGGTTGATCAGATCCGCATTAAGTTGGCATGACGGTCATGCAAGTTGCAGGAGTGTCTTCTCCAGATGTGCCATAACTTCTTCAACATCATCCGCTCGCTTCTCGGCGATCTCGCGGAGCTTCGATTTAGCGTCCTCTGCTAAGTCATCTTGCAAGCAACTTGGCAAGTTGCTTTCTGTCGGGGTCCTTGTCCAGTTTGAACCTCGCAGGGGTGCATGGCAAGCCAAGTCAAGAATGCCTACAATGAGTCAAAATGCATCAAGGCCTCTGTGCCAAAGCTTTTGCAGAAGTCACGTCCTAATTACAGGCTCGCGGTACAGGCGGAGACATTCAGCAAGGCCCCTGCCGCGTCCGCAAGAACTCAGGTCGCGACTGGAATTTGTTTCAGCTCTCCTGCCGGCCATGGTCAGGAGATGCGGTGATGCACGATGATATTATGATACATGTCCTTCAAGCAGCTTGCCAATCAGGAGTGTCGCTGTCGCAGAAGGCCTGCAGGAGAGCTCATGGCATCATGATCCAACCCTTCATCATGTTTTCGAGCTACTACTACTCCCATCTGACCGACATGCACGAAGAATCTGCCTTCACTCAGCACCGGCATTCCTTAACACCGTAAACCCAGTCCGCAGATATAGAAAATGCGGGATGCTGCACCCGATGTGTCTAACGCATGCACCGGGAGCAGCACTATGCAGCACTACTTACTTGCATGGATAAGCTGGTTTATGGTCTGAGCATAAGGTACCGGAGCATTCACACTTCAAGACATTTTCAGACGGTTTGTCGTAAAGCAAGTGGCCATAGCAACCTACGATGATTCAGGTACACCGGATTGCACTAGTTCGAAGCCACATCGGGGAAACGGATGCGGCTCCCTGCTGGCTAACAGCATGCCTGCACCGGAAAAAGCTGATTGTGCGCGGAGAGTTCTACGAGGGCACCATGGTGCAAAAGAAACACTGGAGCTGAATGGCCCCCTTTTGGCAAACGATGGCTCCGGGGATGCGATGAGAAGAAGATGGCACTTGCACCTAACCACGACAGGGACTGCAGAGCGAGCTTGAAGTAGGTTTATGATTTGGGGCTTTAGGGTTAGGATTTGGGCTTGCAGGCATGGGGCATGTAATTGGTGAAATAGAAGGTTGAGCCCCAAGACACTGGAATTACCAAAGGTATAAACCCAACCCTCGCACAGGCATCCACCAGAAAAGTCTAAAGTGTGAACAAATGACATGTAAGAATAATGGTATTATGTAAAAAGCATTGATGATGATAATATTATAAATAACAAATACCAATACTACCAATAATATTAACCGTAATAATAGTAATAATCGCAATAACAATAACACCAACAACAAAAAAACAATAGTAAAAGTAGCAGCCATAATAATACTAGTAGCATTAACAGGTACATGTTAGTAGCAGTAATAGTAGCAATGACAAGAATAGGAATAACAATATTAAGAATGATAATCACGGAAAAAATAATCTCGGTTAAAAAAGAAAAACAACGATAACAATCATAGTATTCATAGTGCATCTTAGTCGAATCTTAGTGATCAGCGTTTACTTGTTTAGTGATCCTGTTGTATTTTCTAATGATCCTGGTTCATTGTTGTTGATCCCTGCAGTAACCCCCTAATGCTCACCCTCGGCGCCGGCCGAAGCAGTCAGGGTTCTCACAGGGACCCTCTGTGACTCCTCTCCTCTCAATCCCATGGTGCCCCCTGTCACTGACCCGCCTTAGGGCACGATTGTGAAATTTCATAACATCCTCCAGTGGTTTCGGGTGTCTCTAGGCAATCCGATTTCCCCCACCCCGCCTCTTTTGCCCACACCCGATGCCAACACCGAGGCGAACGACGCTATGCCCCGCTATGCGTTTACAACTAGACTATTAGAGACTGTGAGGGGGATCGTCTTGATATTAATTAGGGGAAGGGATGATACACGCACTGCTGGATACCCCTGCATTCGCTAACTGCTCGAAATGCTCACGATTGAAGACATGTTGGTCATGATGCAAATTCACATTGTATCACAGCCACTGGCCTCTTGCAGAGGCTCAAATGCTGCTCGAGTCGATTGAAATCCTCTTGTTGAGTTCTCTTTCGACGGACCCTGACACAGGTGTGGTGACAAACGCAGCACAGGTACAGGTGCCGGAGCGGTACGCGGCCTCAGTTCGGTTAGCCTGGAGACCACCCGGGTGTCCTGAGCCGAAAGTCTTCTTTGCCTTTACCTTCGCGGCTTTGCCGAGCCCGAGTGGTTGGCCAAGTTGTACCTCGTGGCCAAGCGCTCGATGTTCCGGTCGGGTTTCACCTCCGCTCCGGCAAAAGCCCGGCTCTCCCGGCCCTCCCGGCCCTCTCGGCCTTGCCGACGAATTGGCCGCACTCCATTTCTCCAAGCTTGGCGACCAGAAGCCCTGCAGAACGCACCCATCCGAAATGCTCCGTCGCAGAGGCTCTGCGAGCTGTGCCAAGCCTGTGGGGCTCCGGGCCTGCTCTAAGACTTCATAAAGCTTTGCCAGATCCTGCCCAGTGTTACTATAGATCTCTGCAAGGTTTTGAAAGCTTCTCTAGAACGTCCTGCTCTTTGGTGTCTCTGCGCCTTCCTTAGCTTCCCAAGAAAATCCAAAATGCTAGGAGATTCACGGACATTCTGGCGGGGTGCTCATGAGCTCATCGAGCCGCACGAGCCATCGATCTTCGATGTTGAAGTGGTCTCCCAGCTTTCCTCAGGCCAACTCTGACTCTCGACTCATTCCAATGAATGTGGAGCGTCAGGTTAGGCTTTCTGCGATCAGGATGCTGACATCTGCATCCATGTCCCAGGGCTTGTCCTCTCTCTTGCTTGGAACTTCTGGCTCTGATCCTTGGAGGGAGCTGAGAAGGCGGCTGCACTTTGCACACCCAAAAGATTGACTTGCAGCGTTTTTCACAACCCGTGAGCTACTTCTCGTATCAAGCGGCTCTGTGGAGAACGGCTGGTTCTGGCTGCAGGTGGTCTGCTTGCAGCCGCCATGGCTCCCGCCATCATCATCATCCTTCTATGAGATTGGCAATGGTTGAGCTACTACCATAAGATTCAAACTAGGGGATATTGCTAGCAAGCCACATGGGATTTGGCATCATAGGCATACCTGGGGGCAACGCTGCGAGTTTCCGCCATTCGCTGGAAGGCCGAACCGTTCAATGGATTCTGAGTACTGCAGCGAGGTCGCCCATCATGGGCATTCCCATTCCCATTCCCATTCCCATCATTGGCATGTTCATGGATCCCATTCCTGCCATACCTGTTGCGAGGCTTGATGGACACAGGTGCTTCCGTCATTTGTGGACCTGCCTCCGGATGCCATAGGTGCACATGGCATTCCTCCTTCTCACAAGTAACCAGGAGGGAGTTTTTAAGTTTCCATCTGTGGCCCACGGCCTTGACCATCTCCGCCCGCATTCGGGCACTGCATTGCTGCCTTGCAGAAGCGAAGAATGGCTGGAAGCTCTTGGGAACTAAGCCGGCGCCGAGCAAGCTTACGAAACAGAGTGTGCAGACTGTGCCAAGTGACGAATCACTTCAATGGGAATGCCGGCATGGCTAAGCACACCAAGCTTCTCGCAGCATTCTCCAAACCGCTGAAAAGCGCTTGAGAAAGAATTCTGGTATCTCCTTGGGTACTGTTTCAACAATGCTTCGACGTCGAGGTTACCAGATGAAAATCTTTGCAATACCTGGGCCAAGATCGGCTACCAGACAACTAAAGCTGCCTCACCGCTGTTGGCAACACGATGTAGCCCTTCTTGATAGCTATTCCTACATCATGTGGTGAAGAGTGCTTGCACATGCTGCCTTACGCCTTACGCTTAAACCGTCCAACGCAGAAGCTGCTGTTAAATTGGATCATACGGAAAGCCGTACGTATTCTAGCCATGGCAAGCGTGTGCCCACCTAGCAGGCCTCAGCATGCGGGTAAGACAAGAAAACTAATGTTCATTCGTGCACTTCATCAACATCAACGCTGTGCATACCGGCGAGTTCCTTTTCCTGTCGCAGCTTTCGCAACTTCGCAAATGCGGCCTTGACAAACACATGTTTTCACGTGTTGAGTGAGACATCTGGCAAAGCAGCACTCAAATGTGGCCTGAGTCGAACAAAAGGAACTTGAAACTGAGCCTACAAAACGCGAACTTGGACGATGACAATTTCACCTGGCACTAGTGGTGATTCCGGAAGCGTGACCTGGCCGATGCCACTGCTTGCATTTCTGTTGCGAAACCCCTTTTGGAATGGCTGGTGCCTCCACTTGACGACACCGCCTGACGTGCAGCTGGCCGGAGACTGAGAAACTGATCACGTCGGCCCACAACGTGCCTAAGTTCGACTCTTCATGTCGTTGACCTTGCGTCGTGAGGCGTGGCCAAAACGTCTGCACTGCAATGGTGCCTCTATGTGCGTGCACCTCTTTAAGTGGACACTTCGCAAACAGAAACAACTATAAAAACACCTGGATGAGAATGGAATGGTGGCTACAACGTCGAAGACACTGGACAGGTGATCGACTAACGAAATGCACCTGACGTGCGAATAATCCTGGGGCACAATATCGCGCTCGGCCATCTTATCCCTTTAGGATAAGGCGGTGTGGTCGGGGAGCTAAACTATGTTTGGGAACGCCTGGGCACGGATAAGTGGAGAATGCCAACAGGCACGCGAAAAGTCGAAAAGCGAAAAGTCGAAAGTGGTGTTGGATACAGATTTTGCGCCAAAACCATAAAACCCGAAAAGTCGAAAAGTCAGAAAGCCGCGAAAAGTCGAAGAACAGCAAAACACGAACAGTCGAAAAGTCACAGCCTCGAAAAGTCGAAAAGAACAACAAAACGCGAAAAGTCGAAAAGTCACAAACTCGAAAGTCGAAAACAAAACACTGCAGAATGCAAAACCCCAGCAAGTTGTGAAGATCTGAAAGCATGTTGGCATAATTTTCTTCTGCAAAACGGAAGGCGCAGGCTCAGGATAGTGTCAAGGATTTTGGGTTCTGGGTGAAGTGTTTCGCCATGTGAGGCCAGCTTCAGGCCACGCGACAGGCATGTTAAATCTCTTGCGGCTGAAACGAAGCCCTGCTAGGCCATGTTCAAGGCACCCTACCTGCATGTCAGGTGGGTCTGATACGGCTGTTTTGCTTAGTGGTGCGCCGAGCTTAGCGACTTCGTAGATGGCCTTTCAGACGCAACAACAGCCGGGTTCAGAGGGTCACTGCGGAACTTTTGTTTGTCATGCCTTAATCAGAACTGAAGGTCATGATGGTCTGATGAGTAAGCTTACAAACTGCGGGAAAAACGCGAACAGTCGAAAAGCAGAAAAGCCCGAAAAGTATCGGAAAGTACAGGAACACCCGAAAAGCCGAAAAGCCTGAAAAGTGTCGAAAAGTGTAATGCCGCAACAACCAGAGGGCACGCAAAGCTACCCTTTTGCTGAGCTCAAGGCGCCTGCAGATGCCGCGGTAAAGGTTTCACAGTCAGATTGGCAAACCGCTCCCGATGGAATGTACAAACACACCGAAAAGCCTAACTCGACCTGGGCTTAAAGCATTGTGAATCACATCCATCAGGGGGAGCCTCCAGGTCGACTAACGACTCTAGGCCGACTCTCTTCAAGGCGTATTTGCCGAGAGACATGACCTTCCTCACAAGTGCTGAGTTTCCCAGCCGTTTTGTGAGGGCATCTGCAAGCATAAAAGCGCCTGGCAACCAGTGGACTTCAGCATGTAGAGCTTTTGCCGAAGATGCCATCACCGACACATCGATTTGTGCCCTCCTGCACAAGCCGGCAGCACCACTGCGACGATGAAATAAATCATACAATGCTCGCGCATCTGTGACGAGCAGAGTCGGATCACCGGGGTCTTGCTGCCTTACGATGGCCAGTGATTCATCGTCTCCGAAGCGAGAGCCGTCCAGCACCGTCGATCCTGGCATCACTGCCTCCGTGAATAAGGCTCTGATCCATTCGAGCTCCGCGAGCCCATCATCCATGGCAAGCGCTTCGCTCCCCAAGCTGGCCTTCACCACTCTCCTTACTCGATGACTTTTCCAGCTGTTGATGCTGAAATCGTGGATGCCGCCGTCCTTGATCGAGCGGTCCACCACGTAGGCGATCATGAAGCCAGGCACTCGCCGTGGCCATCATATATGCACCGCCACTTTCCGAAACGGAAGCGCTCTTTCAACTGCTCCATGAGCTGTTGGTGACGTGTGTTGCCACCCTGCGCAAAGTCATCGACATCAAGTAGCACCAATCCTGCGCAGCCTCGTTGAGCCGGAGACGCCATCTCTTGGCTCGTGTAGGCCAAGTAGTACAGACAGGGATCGAAGACGCTCTCCTTATACCCGAGAGTCAAGAGCACCCGAACCACAGTCTTCCTCCAGCTCGACGGCGCGTTGACCAAACCATAGGTCGCAGTGAGGACCTCAATCAAGACCCAGTCTTTCTCACCCGGGATACCGGACTTGGGAAGCGAGGCAAACAAAGGCCCTTGCTTCCTCACTTCTGGATCACTTTGACCAAAAGCTGACGTCACATCCATGACGAACAGCTTGTAGCGAAGAGACGCGATCAGCTGAAACCTGAGGTACACAGTCGGGGTCGCCGGCGTCGGGCTGAAGCGTTCCAACTCCAACACATCCGGGTCCTTGTGGCCTAGCAGAATCCACCTAGCCTTGGCTTTCCAACCTTCACCAAGCTCTTGAGCCTTCTTTGTCAAGACAAAGCTCGAAGGCATCACTCGGTGCTTCAGCTCCGTCCAGATTTTCTTCACCTCAGCAGCATCCCTGATGAAACGGATAGCATTTCCGTTCTCCAGGTTTCCAATCTCCAGCTTCTTCGCCTCGTCGAACATCCGCATCTCCTCCGCAGTGAAATTCTTCTCGTTGAGCTCCTTCCCGGACTGCTTGGTGAGAGCAACGAACGATCCATAGATCTCCCCGTCATAGTACACAATGTCGCCATTGTCCAGCTTGTGGAACAGCTGCATGTCCCGAGGCATCGCCACTGCTGGCATCCGAGACTTGTCACTGCCCATCCCCCGAAAATTCCAGACTTTCTCGCGGGGGCCTTGGACGCCCGGCCTCCAACATCATCGAGGCTCCTCTTGACCCGCTGCTCGAACAGCCGCTCGTCATCGGCCGGAATCTCATCATCACTCAGCTCAGGTCGGTCGGGTACGTCAAGAGGCTGTCCGGGGTCTGGATGTCCGGTCACCTTCTTGTACACGAGGATAGTCCGCAATGACCTGACCTTCATGGGCAGCAGACGATGTAGATCACGAGGAGCTTCAGCACCAGTCACATCCTCACGCTTGCACATCTGACCACATTGGTCCGCGACCGTCCGAAACCTCGTTGGGTTCACATCGAAACGGGACCATTTCCGAAGCTGTGTCCCACTCCCAGAAGGTGGCCACTCTGCCTGACCAGATGGAGCTTTTGGAGTCGACGACGACGATGAGCTACCTGAACTGCTGGTCGACGACGATCCTGACGTCTGCGACTCAGACAAAGACCCCCCACCGGCTGACTGGCTAGAACTAGTAACTATCAACGACCACCACGGGACCTGGATTGGGCATTTCTGCGGATAATCTTCGCTCTTCTGGACGTTCTTGAACGAAAACTCCTTGTCCATCAGGGGGTCCACGAAACTCTATTTCAGGAGGACCTGGATTGGGGATTTCTGTGGATAATCTCCGCTCTTCTGGAAGTTCTTCTTTGACTCGTCCATCAGGGGGTCCAACGGACTCCTCAACTTCCTTCGCCACATCAACAAACTGCATCTTCTCACTGTCGTACCGAAGCCTTGACTTAGCCTCCAGCAACTCAGCGGGTATCGCTTCCAAACCGGCCTGATCCCCAACCGCCATCTTGAACACCTGGCTCACGTGACACTTCCAGATCTCTCCTCGACGGGTCACCCAGACAGTGTGACCATCCTGCAGAATCACATAGCAGGGTCCCACCTTGGCCGTGGAACCTCGTCTCCCGGTGCGCCACACCATCACCGGCTCGCCCTCAGCAAACTTCAATTTCTCAATCTCCCGACGTGGACGGCCAAGTCGTGCCCGAGAGAGCCTCGCCTTCGCATCGAGCTCGACCAGGGCCTTGCGAGCGGCAGCGCGGATCTCGTGCGCCCGGTTCCACGCTGCATCCTGGGCGGTGGACAGATGATATTCCCTTTGGTCCGCGAGCGCATCCAAGGCGAGGGTAGGTTACTTCCCCAAGACTCGTTGCGCAGGGGAAAATCCACTGCGGTTGGTCAGCGTCTGCAGGCTCCAGCTGACCTCGAAGATCATCACCTCAACTTCTTCCAGCGAAACTGGTTGCACCAACTCCTTAGTACGATAATACACCTCCTTGAACATTCCTCCTCTTCGTTCCACAACACCATTGGCAAACGGGACCTGTCTCGACACCTCGAGGGGGATGATTCCATGACGTTCAAGGCCTTCTTGGAAAGTGGCAGCCGTAAACTCTCTGCCCTCATCGAACATCAGGTACTGAGGTGCCCCAAACACCCGGAGCCACAGCCTCGTAAAGGCCTGCCATGTCACATGAGCTGACCGTTGAAGAGGGTCGATCAACCCGAACGTGCTACACAAGGTCCCCAAACATGTCACGTTCAAAACGGGATGTTCCCGAGCTCCGAGTCCATGGACAAACAAGAGATCCACTCCGATGATGATGTTAAAGTCAAACGTTCTCGGAGTTGCCGCCGGAAGTCGGGTCGGTGAACGGCGCTCTTTGACGCACCCAGGACACTCGAATTCCCGAAGCACATACTGGATCACGTCATGACGAGAGCCAGCGGCCTTTAAAAGCCGGATGAAATCTCGTTGATGAGGATGGCCAAGGTTCACGTGGCATCTCAACACATCGGCCTTCTCGCGGTCGGTCAAGTCGTGCGACGTAGCAAGGGTTTCCGATCGCTCAGGCCAGCGATAAATCACCAGCACAGCTAGGTGTTCCCGTGCCTCCCGGGGCCATTGTCCAGCAGCACCTTGCTCCAGCCATTTTCACTTTCCCTCAGTTACCATCACCGCCGTCCAACGATGGCTCCGGTTTCCCGGCCCGATCTGCGGTAGTAGGGCACGCCGAGGATGTATGCTGATGAACACGGCCTGGCCGTAGTGGTCGCGCCGGAGCTCTCCTTCCGGGAAAACCCTCCTTGATCATCTGACACAACCATGTCATCTCCTGATCGACCGGGAGGCCTCGATACATTTGCCTCGATCTAGCCGCATCCAGGTCCAGCTCTTCTTCTACTTCAGGTGATGGTCGTAGAGGATGGAGCTCCTGGGAGGTCTCGAACACCTCACTCGTTGCCTCAGCTTGGCAGTCCTGTCGTTCAACACCGTAGTTGATGTCCTCCTCCCATAATTCGAAGAACTGTTCCGTACTTCCAAGACGTGCGGTCCAGCGTAACCTCGATGGGCTCCAGCTCCTGGTCCTCGAGATAGACCCCACAAAGTCCACCGAGAACTCCTGGATCACGTAGACGTAGACGGAGGTCACCGCCCCGAGGTCATACTGTGCCTGGCCCGTGGCATCGATCTGGAGCACATTCCAGAGCTCCGGTCCAGGGGACGTGGCCACAACTCACCGCCCAAGTGGACATCGGCACCGCACTGGCACCTGAGAAGGCACAAGTGCTCCATGGAAACTCAGCACAGCCGTGAAGTCCTCGCTCAGGTCGGGCACCACATCCGCGATGCCTTTCATTTCCTTGGCGAGCTTCTCGTCCTTGAGCCACCCAAGAAAACGAAATCGCCTGGGCCGGCTCCTTGACTTAACTCCGGTCGTGGGTGATCACCGCGCTGGTTGTGAATCTCGACCACTTCCTTCCACTCGGACATCAGGGTGAGGTCCTTGCACAGAGGGCAGCGATAGGCATTCCTGCCCTGATGTATCACTGTCTCCAACTTGCCCCGATGGCACGTCACGCAGAGCCTGATCCCCGTCGCCATGACCAGCCGGTCGTTGTACTCCGGCCACAGAAAGGGGCATCCCTTTGCTCCTCCCATGCACCGCCACAGGAGTCGGTTCTCCTCGAGGCACTTCATCAGATGAAGACCACCGAACTGGCAGTGAGGGCACCTCTGGATCAGAGATGGTGGCTCGACCGCTGGGGTCGACTGAGCATCCCGGCGCCACAGCTCCATCTCGTCCTCGGTCATCGACCCAATTGGCTCGGCATCCGACTCTGGCGTGGCCCGCGAGACCACCGACATTGGTGTCCCGATGTTGACTGGCATGGATTCCTTCTTCACCTGCAGGTAGCCCACATGTGGCATATTCGAGCTCGTCCCAGGGATCCTCGGGGCCGCGGCTGTGAGCACCGATCCGGGGTTCCGTCTCTCGGCCTGGCGATCCTCCTTGGCCTTCTTCTTCTCCCGGAGGGTCTCGTAGTCCGGCTTCTGGAAGATGAGGACGGTGTTCCACACGTGGAGCTTGTCCAGGGACATCTTGGGCACCTGCTCGATCAGTGCACACTTGGTACACTTCGTCCAGCTCCAGTCGGAGTTCGCCCCGTGATTGGTCTCCAAATGCTGGCACGTAGGGGTCGCCCGGAGAACCGGACAAAGGAACTTGGAGCGGCCACGGCGCTCGACCTTGGGTCGTCTCTGCTCGGCATGGTCTTCGGCCTGCACCAGGACCCGTGTTGGCGGACGGTCCAAAGAAGCCGCGGCCAGGAGCGCTTGTTCTTCTCGTTGAAGGATGAGGGCTTTGCGTTCCAGCAACTCCCGCCGTGCAGCCAGCTTCCGGGCTCGTCGAAGCTGAGGCTGCGAGATAATTTGCTCCAGTGCCATCGCCGATTGCGTGGCCAAAACAAAGAAGTAGCGCAGTACACAGCGCCGCCATCGCCGAAGGAATAGCGGCAGCTTGTCCCGCTCCATCAAAAACCGAAAGAGAATGCGAGGTCGGGATTTCCCATTTCACATCAAACTCGCACAGACTCACTTCCATGTGTCCTGTCAGTCGACGCTTCATGGTTTGCACTGCACTGATGGAAGTGTAGTAGACTTTCGATCCGGGCATGTCTATCACTGCACCAGCATCTGTGAGGAGGTAGGCGGGGACCAGGCATGGTATTACTCCAGGAACAACCTGAACACGAAGCACACCTGCTTTTCCTGCAATCCCAATCGGAATGTACGCTACCTTGGTGACCTGTTCCGACCTACAAACTCCACGAACCGTTCCCCCTGTCTCATCGGTAACCTGGATTCTCAGCTTGTGGTACTTCTGTAGGTACATGTCATGCTTTCGCAAAGTTTGCTCTCCAATAAGTCCATGCTGAGCTGCAGTATCTATGAGTGCACACCCATCTGAGTCATCATTGCAGCTAGCAAACGTGTAACTGAAGGGCACCTCGGACATGTATTCCTCAGACATCGGAACGCACTCGGGTCGGTAGAGCTCCAGGGGCTCCTTGGGTGACACGCTCACCTCTACCTTTGAAATCTTCTGCTCCTCCACAAAGCCAACAAAGCTAGAGGAGCCAGCCACCGATCCGCTCAGGCACGTGCTCCCGGTACTCGAGGTCGTGACCGTCGGGTCGCTCATGAAGAAGTGGCTCGTCCGGTCGGTGGCGAGCGAGGGCGCTGTTGCCTTTGTGGACACTCTCTCGACCAGTGCCCGATCTGTTTGCACTGGCGACAGCGCGTTCTGGACTTAATGTCCTGCAGCGACGTTCTCGGCCTCGGCGGTCCAGGAAAGGAAGGAGGGCGGCCGTACCCTCGATCAGTCCTCGCTTGCTGTAGGGCTCGTCGGTGCTCCGGATACGACATCTGCTGTGTCCCATAGATTCCGAAGCCTTTGCCCTTGCCGCCTTTTTCCTTGTCCTTGCCCTTTCCCTTGCCCTTGGACTTTCCCTTGCCCTTGCCTTTTCGGTTCCATCTCTCCGAGGTCTCGCCGTAGACATAGGTCAGCAAATCCCCGGCGTACTGGAGGGCCTGGTCCTCATCCAGCATGCGGGGCAAGGGCTCGTCGAGGCACATGTAGATATCCCCGCCCTCGTCAACACCGAGGAGGTCCTCGAACGGGTCGTCCTCCAGCCCGTCCTCCTGGTCCTCGAAGAAGATCTGGTCGCCGAGGGCCTCGGGATCATAGTTATAGTCACCGTCCACGGGGTCGCCGTCTTGCCAAAAGGACCGGCCACGGGAAGCCGACATCGACCCTGGGTCGTTCACGGTGTCCCCAAACAGCTTTCGGATGGCCTGCTCCACCTTGGGAAAGTCGATGGAGCCATCCGTGAGGACTTTCACACGTTGTTTCTGGTCCTCGGTAAAGTTTCCTTGCTTGAGCAGCAAATGCCCCAGCAAGTGACTACCAGCAGGGCTTCCCAACAAGTCAAGGCCTTGTCTCTTGAGTTCCCCGAAGGATGCTTTCTTGGTCGCGACGAACCCACTCAAAGACTGATCAGCTCGTCGGCGTCCTCGGAAGATCGCCTGCTCGAAGGCCTGTTCCAGCTTCGCGTCCCGAAGGTAGTCGTTCGTGGGAGTCCTCGATGATGCGGACGATCTTCTTGTAGCCCTTCTCGTGCGTGATGTCCTCCACCGTGAGGTGGGCCAGCAAAGCCGCCAGCCGCGATCCGAAGGGGATGCCGTCGATGATCCTCTTCCCAATCAAGGACCCCGGCAATCTCTCTACTGCCTCCACCAGCCACAGCCGAAGGTTTCTCGCATACTCCCGGTACTTCGTCTTCGGCATCTCCCCGTCCCACACTGGCGCGGCCTCCATGCGGTAGTCAACGAACTTGCGGCCGCCAGGTGCTGCACCGCCCGGTCCAGCACTTCCATCCAGACCGTCTCCGTAGGGAGGCGTCTCGCGACGAGATCTCGGCCGAATCGGCGAGGCAGGGGTAAGTGGCGCAGTCTTGCGTCCGGGCTCCTCTGCTTCACTCGCAGCTGCAGATCCCGTAGCCATACTCCCAAAATTCACTCAGCTTCCCCAACCAGATGGGAACTCAGACCAGGAAGTCCCCGGCCACTCAAGGAACACACTGTTCCCTGCTCCAACCAAAATCGCTCAGCAGACTGAGCCTCAAAGTTTCCGAAACAAGCTCGGATCCAAAACTCCACAAGTAGTCCTGTCGCCTCCAAGGCCACCGAACTTGTGGTCCGGAGAAACGTGTAATCGATGAAAATCACCTGGTTGAGCTCTCCAGGCCGTCGCCTGGTCCGCAACGATCTGGCTGGGCAACCCCGGTCGTCACCGAGGCTCCGCTGCCATGTAATGCCGCAACAACCAGAGGGCACGCAAAGCTACCCTTTTGCTGAGCTCAAGGCGCCTGCAGATGCCGCGGTAAAGGTTTCACAGTCAGATTGGCAAACCGCTCCCGATGGAATGTACAAACACACCGAAAAGCCTAACTCGACCTGGGCTTAGAGCATTGTGAATCACAAAAAGCAAACAAACAAGCGAAGAGTTGAAAAGTCGAGAACTCTTCGACTTCTTGATTTTTCGAATTTCTTTTCGGATCTCCGCTTATGGAAACCAACGCCGGCTTGCGTGCTTAGCGGGGAGCCGACCCCGCAAAAAACTCGTGCAACGTGCAATCAGGCACCTGACAGCCGACACGCCTGAGCTACGGGATTAGCTAAGATGCTTGCACAGTTCATGCCACAGAAAAGGCCCTACCCAACCAACGTACGTTTCTGTGAGCAAAACAAAACTTGGGACTTGGGCACTGCCTTGCAGCTAAACTTCACCAGGGTGGCTTCGGACAGACCAGAGCCACCATCCGATCTTGATCGTGGCGGGTTCGCAGAACCCTCCGGGACATCGTGCTCTATCACACATCGGTTCCCAGCTTGTTCCAATGAAAGCACAGTGAGCACGGGCTGAGTGAACAACCCTGGCATCGCTACGACTCAGGGACACGCATGAACCTATGGACATCAAGCAAAAGCCTCTAAGCCTCCAGCCTTTCTTTCAACTGCTCCACACACGCGGAGATTTGCTGACTCAAGGGATGCCTCAAAACATCTCAAAAACATCGCAATCAAGCTCCGTAAGAATGCAAAGCCAAGCGAATTCTGCAAAGCTCGGCATCCGGCTCTTCACCAAGCTCTTGCAAACAACTGTCGTGAGCCTGATCAACTCAAGCGAACCGCACACGACCAGACGGCACTACAAGCAAAGACTTGAAGCCGATGCGGATGTGGAGACCTACCTAGACCTCGACCTGGACGCTTTGGCAGTGACAAAACACACGAAACTTACCGATGTTAAAGCAGCAGTCAACAATTCATGGCGAAATCCCATCATAGCCGAGAGATGCATGCCCGGCTGCGAATGCAAGCAGCGGTCTCGAGGACTCAACTGCACACAGCCCTCTGAATCTGACGTCTGAAATCGAATGCACTTGCAGCTCGAAACCGTGAATCGGTGTTTTCACAGATCAGACTGTTCCAGTCCGGTTTCGACGCAGCGGTTGGCGAAGAACCGAAGGCTTCAAACACAGGATCGCTGCCGTCCACGAAGTCCAGCGATAGTGGCAAGGATCCGAGCCACAATCACACCGGCAATCAGCGAATGGGCATGTACACCGCTGCTCTGGCTGCCATGCCCCGGGACTCGACACTGTCACTGCTGCTGTAGAAATCTGTGTTTCTTCTGTGTGAGCGCCCAACTCAACCTCGTTGTACAAGACTTGGTCTCGCTCAGCAGGACATTACTGCCACAGGTTGCAAGGTTGCAAATGGATCGCATCTGCAGCCTGATCGCAATTTTCGAGCATAAGTAAAAGGGAATCTGTGGTTGGGTCAAGCTCTCTTTGACTCCGTTTTGATTCACGCAGCGTTAGCTGTCCACGGCTGCCAATTCCTGCTAAGAGTCTGTCGCTTCGGAGCATCGTTCCTTGCGACGGAGCTTGCCGAGTGGCTTTTCGAATGCACTTGTTCAAGATTTCCGCTGGCATAGATTTACTTCCAGTGCTCTTCAAGCAAGAATCTACGCTGTTTCTAACATTTGTTGCCGGAGACTTGTTCTTTTTCAGTCTTCCCTCTGGCGTTTCTCATGAAGTGCAGACATTTGCATCGTGCAGCTTCTCCCGTTTTGATTCAACTCAGCCTCAATACGAAGGCCCTGCAGCATGCCTAAGTCCACTTCCTCAAGACAAAATAGCCTCGAGAGGCCGACATCAACACGAATGGAGGCAAAGGCTGCTTCATCGTAGTGCCGGTGGGCACAAAGATAATGGGAAGGCTGGAGATGCTCACGAAAAGACGGCCCGGTGCCCTCGACCTTCGATTTGCACGGACGCAAGTAGCCCTGTACTACCAGTCGACACTGCACTGCAAATGGACGAAAGGCAAAATCCTAAAGCATGCGAAATAACAGAAGGCGGGTTACGGGTCACCTACCATGCAGTGACCCGCATTCGTTGAACCTGAAAGTGCGCCATAAACGGTCGTGGATGGCGAAGGTGTCTGCTCCGCAGTATGGGATTTCTCCGCCGACCGCAGCTCGACAGAAGGCTCCTTCCTTGAAGCTTCGGTGAGGGAGCTACACGGAAAAACTAGCTCACGACAGTGTGGGAACGATGCGTCAACGGCGAGATGACCTGTCACGTGTCAACCTCTGCAGCAGACACTGCAGAGCGATTTTTGTTCGTGTCGCAAGTGGCTTACACGCAAACAGCCAACCAAAGACGATCCCGGCTACAGCAAATGAGAACATACAGCTGCCTGTAGATTGCTCAGCACCACACTCTTTGGTAGTGCCACAGAGCTTCTGCAGGCTTCTTTAAATGCTCGTACTCTGCCCCCATGTTGAAATATGCAACGCCTCAGAAGCCATTCTCTTCTTGCGTGCCCTACGAACTGCTGGCGTTTTAAGACACACATGTGGGGGCCATGCAAATCAAGCTTTCGCTGTTGGTGCTCCCGGCGACAGGTGGAAGACCTCGCTCGCCGATGGACAGTCGTTCATACGGACAGTACAAGCATCTACCTGCTGTGTGACTGTAGTGACTGTAGGCTCTAAGTTGATGGACTCCCACCCTCCGGTGGCTGAGACCTGAGACAGGATCACCCGAGGTTACTCTGGCACACGCAGGTGATTAGCAAGCCCTCCCCTCTCAGATGCGCTCTGCTTCTGAGCTGCCTGTTATCAACCAGAATTGCTGTCTGCAAGCGAGAACATGTACACTGCAACTTGAACGTTCCCTGCGATACCTCCAGTTTTTTGAGAGCTTTGTCTGCATGCTGCAGTGCCTGCTCACACATCTGCATTCGACAGCTTGAGATGTCAAGACGAACGGTCTGCTACCAAGTTCGCACACACTCCCAGAAGCCTCTTGATGCTTGCCCATCTGCGACAAAAGCGCACACAGATTCAGGTGTGTACCTTGCCGCTGCCGAAATGGCGAGCTCCGCTTCCGGATGTGACAACACGCGGCGGAGGGGTTTTTGGGTTTCCGAATGCTGGCGGTCCCCCGTCTCGCTTGCTGGCGTCGGCTCTGTGTTTTGGCTACAGATACTGTACATTGCAGCATTTGCTACTGTTTTGCATCAAGCTCTTGGAATTGCAGTAAATAGGGTCCCGTTTTGCCCAAGCTATTGGAGGATTGCAATTTCCAAGCTCCTCTCGTGTCAAGCTATTGCGGAATTACAATTTGCGGGGTTTTTGCTTTGCGTCAACCTGTTGGGGAATTACAATGTGCAAGGTTTGGCGCTGTGTCAAACTATTGGGGAATGCCAACTTGCGGGGTATCATTTTGCCCCGAGCTGTTGGGGAATTACAATCGCGAGGCTCCTGTTGCGTCAAGCAAGTGGGGAATTACAATTGTCTTGTATCAAGCTATGAGGGAACTACAACTTGCAGGGTTTTGTTTCGCGCCAAACTCTTGTGGAATAATAATTTGCAAGGTTTTGCTTTGCCCCAAGCTATTCAGGGATTACAGCTTCAAGGCTCCGGTGTTGTGTCAAGCTATTGGGGCATTCCAATTTGCGGGGTCTTGCTTTGCATCAGGCTATTGGGGAATTACAATTTGCAAAGTATCAAAGTCCTGTTTTGCCCCAAGCTATTTGGGGATTGCAACTTGAGGGGCGATTCCGGTCCGTCATATTTCTTAAACACACGAAATCAATTCTCGATTCCGGTTCATCATACTTCTTAACCATGCCCCCTCTTTTGGCGATTCCGGTTCATCATAACTTATCTTAAACACGCCCCGCTTGTGGCGAGTCCGGTTCATCATATTTCTTAAACACGCCCCTCATTTGGCGATGCAGGTTCATCATACATCCTAAACACGCCCTTTCATGTGGCGGCTCCAGCTCATCATACCTCTTCAACACGCCCCCTCCTATGGCGGTGCCCGTGCATCATAATATATCTTAAACACGCGCCTCATGTGGCGAGTCCGGTTCGTCATATTTCTTAAACACACCCTCCCTCCCCCCATTGGGCGAGACCGGTTGGTTCATCATATATCTTAAAACACGCCCCCTCATCACATATCTTGAACACTCTCCCTCATTTGCCAATTCCGATTCTGCATGTTCGCTAAACTGCTCAACCCGCCGCCAACTTTTCACAGACATACGGCCCCGGCAGGGCTAAAGGAGAGAGCGGGGGGGTTGGGGGGCGCAGCCGTCCCCTTTTGCAACCACAATGTCTGTATTGATCAGGGGTTTCACAAAGGATCCATATGCATGTTGTTTCTGCTGGCTTGATGTAATTTTAGAGCGAACTTGCACGGCTTTAACAAGCTGGGCGGGGAGCTGACAAAGCAGCGCAAAAAACTGACAGGGAGCTCGTTATGTGTGAAGGCTTGTCGATGGTGTCTTGATGCATGCGTAGGGAGGTCTCCTCATGTGTTAACCAGCATGGTTCGTGGGAAACTTAGAAGCGAGACATGGCAAACATGACTTTGCGTTCCGTGCACACACACTGATGGATCCGGCCAAGAGTACGAGTGCAAGAGGCAAAGAGAAAGAGACATGTTGCCTTGCTGTGTGTGAATGTCAGATTGCTGCAACCGTACATGCCAGCACAGACATGAGCAACCTGAGCTGTCGACACATGTTTTGTTTGTACAGCGACTGTATCACATGACG